AGATCATTTGTTGCCCAATCTGGTGCCAATCCATGTAGTTGATGGCGACGCTTGACATTGTTCATCATTTGTTTCAACTGTTGCATATCGAGCTGGTTGAACTCTTTATAAACTTTATCGGTGTACTTTTTTTCACCGAAAAGATTGCTTTATAAAAAAACTAAGTATTAATAATTTTTTATATTTATTTGAAATTAATTTAAAAAATATAAAAAAAAAAACTTACAATAAACGAGTGCCACCAAGCACGTTTCAGGTATTCTGGTACCACCGTCCAACAGTAGTAGAGTTGAGAAAAATTAGACGTTATTATTGACGTAAATGTTTTCCTCAACTCTTTATCGTTAACTCCAAACCTAAAAATTACGTTTTTTTATTAATAATAATTAATTAGAATAATAATTTAAATAACTTAAAATAAAAATTACCATAATGCTCCTTCAAGTTTTGGGTCAACGAGTGGAATTGTGCGAGTGTCGAAGGAGATAAAATCTCCTTTACTTCTTCCAGAGTGCATCCGACGGATCGGGAAGACGAGACGGTGGCGGCGGTGCTCCAAATGAACCAACCAATAATCCACCGTGAAATGAAGAATGCCTACGAACGAATTAAAGAAGGATTCCAGGTCCCGGTCCGCCGGACCAAGCTTAGTTCGAGGCCTTTGGACCGCCTGATTTAGAGTCTTGGTCCGGCTGACCAAGTTTTGGTCAGCTCCGGACCAAGTCTCTTCTTCAGCTTCTTGGTCCGACGCTCATCTGCCCTTGGTCCGTCTAATCCAGCATCTGGTCCGGAGCTGACCAACTCTTGGTCAACCGGACAGACCTGGACAGATGACCGTAGGCTGAGTTCGGGCTTCCTAGACTGACCAAAGTGGTCCGGGGCTGGCCAAACTTGTTCAGCTCTGGCAACACATTGAAAAACCTTTTTCATGCTCGTTTCGGTCAAATCTCATTTCCATTCTCCGGATTCTTCACGTATAAGTCCATCCCTAGTGGTGTGTGACCCTGTAGGCCCATTCTAAGTTGTAGTGGCTTCGGGAACCTTTTCCGAATCACAAGTCATGGTTAGCCTCTAGCAAGACGTCATGACCACCTACCAAGAATTGAGTTAGAGGTGATCTAACTATGGCATTAACAACTCAATTCTGACCCTTTGTCTCACGATATCATCTGTTGAATAAGGGCATGGTTAGAGCCACCCTTCAAGTTCAACCGCTTTCTCGTATTGGCAAATCGACTAATAAAATAGATGCAACTTCATCTATAGCGTGACCACGCATTTTTCACAGTCCGATTTCCACGAGAGGCCCAACTACATCTCTCCTGTTAAGGAGATGACAAGTCCCGGTTGCATGTCTACTATCTCCATATGATTCATGAACATATCTAAGCAACGCCATTATAATCATTCGGTTAAAGACGACGTTTGACGCAGTCAAGACACGTCACTCCTCATATCAGATATATATTCTAGACATCTCAGGTCTGAGGATCTAAGAACGAGCCGTTGTATGAGATTCAAGTCATGACTCTGTCCATGTGACAATCTCATGCGGGTCATCCAGTCACTCGTTCCTAACAAGTACCCATGATTGTGATATGCATCCAATGCATCGATCACACCTCATGCTAGTCTTAATTCATCATTGTTTCCACAATGATAACTGACCAGGGAGTTTAGAATCATTCTCTAATGATTCAAGGATATTTACCGAAATATAACAAACATGTCAATCATATAACGGGAAAAGTAATGCATTCATAAACCAATGAATCAATACATAGTCAAAATGTCATATCCAGGATCATCCTAGAGCATTACAACCAACAGTGACTTCTCTCCCTCTTCTCCTTATCTTGTTCTTCTCAAACCCTATTTTAAGAGCAGATGGTGAATCGGTTCGACAGAGAGAGGGAGAGAGAGAGAATCGTTCGCGATTTTTGGGGTTAAAATTCTGAAACCATAACATTAAAATCTCTTCTGAACCGATATTTTATTAAACCGGTTCGGTCCGATATATGTTAACTAATCGATTTTTATTTTGCAATTTTTCATTCTGACGTGTCAGCTTACGTGTTATCATGCGTGACAATAATCGGGCACTACGTCACGCGTTCCGTTATTGATTTTAATGCCGCTCGATCGGATATTTGGCAAAAATTCAAAATATCAGTATTAAACATGTTCATATTTACAAGTTAATGTTTTATTGGGAAGTCGAAAAAATTCAGTATTTATCTGTCAGCTATTTCCAAATTTAGTAATTTTTTTGGGATTTTTCCTTCTTTAAATAATTATTTAAATATGCTACTAGTCTGTAGAAATATTTATAGTTTAATATATCGTATTATTGATGAAATATTAAATCAATATCGGTGATATGTTGTTTTATAATAATTAAGTGTCGATGTATAAAAAAGTTTTGTCTATATAAAAGGTTACATAATTATAAATTCGTAATGAGTTGGTCCCTCCTACCTGTTTAGTTAACACTAAATAAGATTATTTACATCAAATTTATCAAGATTTAATATGTAGAAACAACATAGGACTTCTAAAGTTGAACACCAATGCAAATTGAATTCATACCACAATAAACTTATGATATATATATATATATATGGCCATGTAATAAAACGAAAAATTATGTATTTGTATTGATAATACTCAAATATATTGTTTGTTGAAGATTCCGAGCATTCTTTCTAGATGGTTAATAGAATTATCTTGTTGAATCATTTTTTTTACTCATCTTTTTTTATTCATTTGTGTGTGTGTATATATATATATTGTCACATTCACTCATCTTATATAAGATGTAGCTTTCCAATTTTCGACATATGATTCGAATTATTCCTCCCGCATTACGAACAATAAATATTAAATTTAAACAAAAAAACAATAAATATTAAACATTGCTATAAATACAAGAAATACAATCACTTGACAAATACAAATAAAATTATTACACAATACTGTCCATTGTCCAAGATATAGTCAATGGTCATTTAAAGTGGGTCGTTGGATGGATCCCCCACTATATTCAATTTTTTTTAAAAAAAACTTCTTTACTTTTTTAAAAAAAAATAAAATTCTATAAAAGGAGCCTCTCTCTTGTGCTCTTCTTCCACACTCCCCCACTACCACCCGCAAGGAAATTACTCTTTTACCCCCTGAGTTTCCACCTTTTTTCAGCCCTAATGCCGAAGGGAAGAGGCAGTGCAAGTCCATCGGCCGCCGC